GGGCGAAGTCTGATCCTAGTGGGGGAGAATTGTACCATCCGGATTCCCAGGTATCCTATTTTAAGTATTTTTATATTGAATTTTAGAGGGGGGACTCGGCGAGTAGGCGCCCAGACTCGCCGAGTTGGATCGCGATGTGTTGGCCTGATTTAATGAAGGACTCGGCGAGTCCATACGTGGACTCGGCGAGTCCACGCTGTTTAATGAAAACCTAATTTCTCGGGTTTGGGACCTATTTAAGGACCCTTATAGCCACCATTTGCGGCTACCAGACCCTTGAGAGAAACCCTAATAGTGCTTGACCGTTTGAGAGAGAGAAGAAGCCATTATTGGACCTTTGTGGGTTGGTTTTGCAAGAAGAAGTTGATTCCAACTTAGAGGAGGCCAAGGAGGTTGCACATCTGTGGTTTTCAAGCTAAGGGCATCATCTTTGAGGTAGCATATCGATCCTCTTTCTGTTTTGTTAAAGAATCCATGGATCTAGGGTTTTCTATACCCTTTATTGGGATGATTTGTTGGAGATATGGTCCCTTATCATGTTTAGGCTTCAGATCTGGACCCATAGTGGTCCAGAGAACCTTATCCATCTTGCTTTATGATGAGATATGAAAGAAATGGACTTAGGATGTTGTATTTGGGGCTAAATCATCAAGTAGAGTCATTTGGTCGTTGCATGAGTATCAAGTTCGAACCTTTACGTGTTTATTGAGTTTGGGAAGGTTAGATCTATGGATTAGAGGAACAGATCTGACCTCAGAAGGTCATTTGAGTGTGAGCATGGAATGAACTCGCCGAGTCCATGAGCGGACTCGACGAATCGAGTCGGGTTGCCCCGCGACTCGCGACCTGTGACGACCCGTGGAGTATAAGGTTGACTCAGTGAGTCAAGGGAGGACCAGGGGCGTAGAGGGCAGGCGTGTACTCGCCGAGTCACCCTAGTGCACTCGGCGAGTCGGGTCAAAGTTAAACCATTGACTTTCGTTGACCTTAGGGTTCTGGTCAAGGCTGATTCAGGAGAGTTCAGGGAAGGGTAGAATGGCCTTCTACCTAGTCTGTAGAGATGAGATCATGAGAGAGTATTGATCGGGAATGTTATTTGAATAATAGGAGGAGGCTAAGTCGGGACGTTGAGCACGAGAGGTTATCCGACTTCATGAGGTGAGTCTTCTCACTATACTGTACCTGGAAGGGTACCTATGTGTGACCGGAAGGTCTTGTATGCCATGATGTATGTGCTATATGCGGTTATGTGATATGTATGCTATGAATGATAAGGACCGGAAGGTCAAGATGATATGTATGTATGTGCTATGTATGTTACGTATGGTAAGGACCGGAAGGTCGAGATGATATGGATTGGAAGGTCAAGAGGGTACGGGCCGGAAGGTCTACCGGAATTTGGGACGGAAGTCCCCTAAGACACATGGATCGGAAGATCCTATAGAGTTGTGGCCTGGAAAGGCGTATGTGGGGTATGTGGTATTTTGGGGAACTCACTAAGCGTTTATGCTTACAGTTGTTGTGTGATGTGTTTCAGGTACTAGCGAGGATCGCGGGAAGGCGTCGGCATGATCCGTACACACTTATGGAGTTTATGATATCGAGATTTTGGGGCATGTTTTGTTATGTTACAGTGGACACATTATGTTTTTATGATTATCGTGTGAATGAATGTATGTTTTTTTAAATGAATTTTTTTTTTGAAAAATTACGTTGTTACACCCTTACCTTCGTCTCTCCAGATCCGACGAGAAAAAAGAGATGTGGGTGACGAACAGATCAGGTGACAAACAGATCTGCTTGTTAATTTCTTATTCTTATTTTTTGGCAGATTTGGTGATGCTGGTGGTTTGGCGGTCATTTTGTGTTGATGACAATCGATGGTGTTTCAATGGTGGTGTGATGATCTGATGCAGAAAATGATGGGTTGTAGGGTTGTGTTTTTGGGTTGTGTCTGGTGGTAGTATAAGGTGGAATGGTAGTTTGATGGTGGTCATGGTGGTGGGAATGGAGACGGAGAAGGGTGGCTTTGGGTGGTGATAGAAGATGAAAGGTTCAACTGAGGTTGAAGGTTGGTGAAGGTAATGAATACTGAGGGTGGTAGAGAGAGAGAGAGAGAGAGAGAGAGAGAGAGAGAGAGAGAGAGATTATTTTTATTTTATTTTATTTTTTTAAATCTGAAAATCATAAAAACAAATAAGAAAAAAGAGAAAATCATATTAACAGGGGCAAATCCGTCATTTAAAAAAATCAAAACAGATTGGACCAAACAAGCAACAAAATGAAAACTTTGGACCTCTAGTGCTAGTCCAAACTTTTTTGGACCAAAGTGGCAATTTTGAGCAAACCACAGAGACCATTTGTGCAGTTTTAATTAGTTACTTCAACAATTTTTTTATATGATTTGCGTAATATTATGTCTTTCAAATGTAGCAAAAAATCAATATTTTAAGGACTTAAGGTGTAAGTTTGGAATTAGTGGCTTAAAATATATAAACTTTTTTTTTGCTCAAGGTGCACAATATTTGAGATATAAAAAGAACGACAATATTATATTTGTTTATAAGAGATAAAATATGTAAAAGATAATGATAAATGATCTCAAAATTTAAATCCTGATTTGGCTTTTAAAATTCAAAATATGAATATTTATATTTGTATTTTTTTTAAAGTATTAAATGTTAATGAATTTTTAAGGATGCCACATAACATCATTAGAATGATACTCTAAAATTGTGCCACTTGACACTTAGCTATTTTTATTTATTAGGTAGTATAGATATAAATATAGATTAGTTGGTATATGAGTATATCTTAAGGATCGTCTATAATTCCAATAATTATATTTTTGTTAATATAACAATATATTAACTTTAAGAAAATTAAGGGTGTAATTAAAAAAAGGGTAAATATCATTTTAACCCATCAAACTTATCGTGTTTGTTTTAAAAGGTCACTAAACTATTTTTTTTTGCACATTAAGGGTGCGTTTGGTTGGCAGGAAAGGAATGAAATTCGAGGGAAAATGATTCCAATTCCCTCGAATTCATGCGTTTGGTTGGACTTAGAGGAGGGAAAATGATTCGTAAATGAAATAAACTTTCCACCATATGGAGGAAAGTGAATTCCTTTCAAAGTTGGATGGAAAACATTCTTTCTCATGAAGGAAAGTGGCAGATTACAAAAATACCCCTTGTACTTATCAAAAAACTCACCACCACTACCACCACCACCACCACTATCACTGACCACCACCACCGCTGCTACGACCGCCACCACCACCAGTCCACCACCACCGCCACCGCCACCACCACCACCACCACCACCACTGCCACCACCACCACTCCACCATCACCGCTGCCGCCCCACCGACCACTGACCACCACCACCACCACCACCACCGTCGATGCCGTCATAGCCACTACCACCGCCTCCGTTGCAACGACCGCCGCCACCGCCACCGACCACCACTACCACCGCCATGACCACCACCAACCACCACCACCACCGCCACCACCACCCACCATCACCCACCGCCACTGCCTCTGATGCCACCACCACTACCATCGTCGTCATTACCACCGTCGCCGCCGCCACCGACCACCATCACCATTGCCGCCACCACCACCATTACCATTACCCACCACCACTACTAATGCCATCACCCACCACCGCCGTCACAACCACCACCACCAATAACACTACCACCACCACCACTACCAACGCTGCCACCATCGCTGCTACAACCACCCTCACCAGCCGTCACTGCCACCACCAGTACATCACCGTCGTCGCTGTCGCCACCAGTTGCCACTGCCACCATCACCACCACTTTCGCTACTACAATCAATGCCACCACCACCATCACCACCACCATCGCCGCCACCATCACCGTTGAAATTTTATTGTTTTTATAATTTTTAATGTATCTTTACATATAAGTTAGAAAACAAGGTAAAATTAAGCAAAACATGCAAAAAGGGTAATTATGTCATTTTACATGAATTCCAATTCCATTTCCTGCGAACCAAATAGAATTTGGAATTAATACCAATTCCATTTCCTGCCAACCAAACAACATATGGAATTGGATTCAAATTCCTGACAGATTCTTTTTCCAATTCTAATTCAAATTCCTTCAGCAACATTATGCGAACCAAACAACACCTAAGGGAATAACCTTACATTTCTCTGTTTTAAAATACCCTTATGTTATCTGGAACCGGATTCAAAGGTAATATACATGCTAGGAAGGGTTTGACTGCCATGTCAACATCCACCTGGTTTATTATTATTATTTTGTTCTTGAAACTTTCTTTGGTCATGTTCATTATGAAACCCAGTATTATTCATATTGTTTGTAGAACATTCAAACACCGTCACCTTAAACCACCGTCTGAGCCACCTTATATCACCATCTACAACCACCATCATGATTTCCCTTTCATCTTCTTTAGATAAAAATTTACACAAAAATATCCTTTACCAGCAAAAGTATTTAGTATTTACACAGAAAATATATTTTACCAGCAAAACTAAACCCAAAGATAATCCATTAATAATAAAGATTAAACTAGAAAAACCCATAGCTAGCAAAAAAAATCTAGATTTGATACACCAAGAACACAAAAGCCCCACCATCCTATCTTCCCAAAAAACCCAGATCAAAAGTGCCACCATCTGATGAAGATGAAAACCCCAAACGATCAAAATTGAAAAAATGGAGAAGTAATCGAATGCCATCCTATCTTCCCAAAAAACCCATATCAAAAGTGCCACCATCTGATAAAGATGAAAACCCCAAACGATCAAAATCGAAAAAATGGAGAACTAATCGAATATGTAAAACCCTATCGATCAAAAACGAAAAATAGAGAAGAAATCGAATCTATAAGACGACGTCGTAGTGATTGGCTTCATCGGGATCTTCGATTCTAAGCGTCCTCTGATTCAAAACTGAGTTCTTTGGTTTCCTTAGATCATCTTCTGAATGGTAAGGATTAATCAACATATCGTGTCTTGAACTTTTTTCCCAAGATCGGCATCGGATCATAGGGGTGTGAGGTTAGGGTTCTTGTAGGCGTTAATGGTGACAAGAATATAATAGAGGTCCAGTAAGTTGAAGGGTGGATTGGAATTGGAGGGTAGATGGAGTTGGGATCTTCGAATTTCAGCGTCCGGAGATGGTGATGTGGTGTGGTATGTAGGGATGAGATGAGATGCTGCAAGATGTTAGGATGATTTCTTTTGCTTGAGGGATGCGAAGCAGATACCGATGGTAGTTGGTTGTCGATGGAGATGGGTTGCATATGATTAGGTTTAAGTTTTCCTTTTTTTTATAATTTGTTTTGATTTATATTATTATCATAACAATGACATATAAATAATAACAACTAAAAATAATTAAGAAAAACCAAACAATAGTGACTAGGCATCCACCTCACAACTTTTTGTAACACTTAACATTGAAACCTCTTATAAGGGGTTAAAGGACCATTTCAACCGGTCACATTCAACTTCATTCCTTTAATGTGCAAAAAAAAAAAAATAGTTTATTGACCTTTTAAAACAAACACGATAAGTTTGATGGGTTAAAATGATATTTACCCTTAAAAAAGCATGCTAAACGCCAAAATTGGATAACCAAAATTTGTTACTGTATCCAAAATACTATTTTACACAAGTAAACATTGTGAGAAACCGACTAATTTATATGTTACACCACTTTTTATTATAATTTTGGTATGGGTGCTCGTCGGTTGAAATCCATCGAATTTTGATGGAGTCGATCCAATTCGATTATCCATTGGATGTTGAATTTTGTCGATTGATCAAGTTCATTTCGTTATATATAATTGAACCGAAACGAACCGATCTAATTGGATATGTTTTTTCCATCGAATATATTTAAGTGTTTATCTATTATCCAATCAATTCTAATCAATTAATAGTCGAATAATAATCAAATATAATTATGGTAAATAAATGTTGAAAGTTCAACCAAAGTACGGTAGAAAGAAAATGTTTAAACTTTAAACTTCAATTGGGTGGTAAGTGGATATTAGTTGATGTTAATTGGAATTTATGGGATATCCAATTGCATGAATGTTTGATGGTTCAATTGGTTACCCATGGGATTTCAGGGTCCTCCAAGAATTAATCCAATGTAATTGGATTTTGAAATTTTGAAACTAATCCAATCCAATTGTGATTGGATATCCAATATAATCGGTCAGTTTGTAATTAGATCGGTTGGTTAGAATTAGATCAGTTAATTTTCACACGCCCTTAAATTTTGATCCAAGTTGTAATTTTTATTATGAATTTGATCTCATCTTGTTTTCACAAAGTTACCCGCACTTTTTTAAAACTTTCCTTTTACATGTATGTAAAAATAATTATAAATTTGTTTTTTTTAGATATTCATTTCTATACATGTTTTTAAAGATTGTTTTTACAACTTTTACATTTTTCACATAAACCTCGACTTGTTTTTTTTTTTTTTCCTTTCATCATGTGTTCGAACTATCAAAATAAAATAATGATTTTGATTTAACCCAAATTTACATTTTACACAATGGTGTGTTTTAATAATTGTCATATCAATCTCTTTGCAGCAATGCATTTGTATGTTATATTGTTCATGTCCAGTACATAATATGTTGTTATTCTTATGGATAATAGGATGGAAATAGGACAACATTTTAAAAAGATGTCACACAAACTAGACCCTCGACTCAAAGGTTTTCTTGAGAATGTATTAGAGAATATATGTTAAAATAAAACATTCACACATCTTGAAACATTGAATAGAAAATAGACAAAATTGCAAAAATGGTCCATATGGTATGCAATTTTTTGGGGTTTTAGTCCAAACCCCGAGTTTTTTGGATTCATGGTCCTTTTGTAGTGGTTTGTATGTGAAAAAAGTCCCTGCGAAAATTGAAATGACTATAATACCCTTGGGGTATTTATTTTTCATTTTTCATTCATTTTTTTTAAATTTAATATTTATTTATTTATTTTAACAATTAAAAATAATAATAAAGGACCTCTCTCTCTCTATCTATCTTTCTCTCTCTCTTATTCTTCCTGATGATCCACCACCCAAAACACCCACTCTCATTGTAGAACCAGTGAAGAAGAAGGAAATGACCGGTGATTCTTCGGCGGTAGTAGCGGGCCCAACCTTCTCCGCCTATTTCCACCGAGCACCCGCTGTCAAACACCCACATAATTGTTGTTGTACTGTCCCGATACCCCTTCACATCCCTCTCAACGACTGTCATCCCGTTTGTCTCCTTCCCCTGTCGAAGAACTAGAATCACCGGTGATGTTTTCCTGGTTCCCCACTGCCGCCACCTCCATATCCCCTTCCCTTCCTCCTTCTGCCGAGAAACACCACCACAAGCACCCTCTCCGGCTGTTGCTACCCTTCTCAACCCCCACAACCCCGATTGAAGGCTTGAACCGCCGGAAAAATTGACTCCTCCTTCATGCTTCATAACGAATCAGGAAAAGAAGAAAGAAAGAAGACTATTGTTGCTTTCGGTCCCTTTTCGTCTCCGATCAGATGGGATTCGAAGACCCATTCCCTTTCGCTTGTCTGACAGACCAAACACAACCACCACAAGTCTCGATTTTCACCCTTATTGCTCGATTGAACTCCTCAGGACCACCGACAGTTGATTTTCCTTACTGTGTTGCAGTTGATTGGACCAGAAGACGAAGTAGGTCGTCGGAGCGGCCCTGCAATGTCGACGCCCTTCCTCCTCCCCTATTCGCGATCCGTTTAACCACGACCGGTACCCGTCGATTGTGGATGTGTTCTTCTCAGCTTTCGTCCGTCGCGTTCCCGTTGCTCCTTCGACCAGATGAAGACAAAGAGGAAGAGACCCCCCTCTCGTTTTGATTGTATTGGTCTATTAGAGAGAGAGAGAGAGAGAGAGAGAGAGATAATGAGGTGTGGGCCCCATTTTATATTATATTAATAAAACATTAAATTAAGTAGAAAAAATATAACAAATATATCAGGAGGGCAATTTAGTCATTTCAATTTTTGGAGGGACCATTTGCACATACAAACTAGTCCAAAAGGACCACGAATCCAAAAAAGTCATGGTTTGGACTAAAACCCCAAAAAAATACATACCACATGGACCATTTTTGCAATTTTGTCTTGAAAATATGTTCAAATATAAAATTGAGGTATCTCGATATATTCATTGTATGTATAAAAACATGTAAAAGTTGTAAATAAATCTTAAAGAACAAACATAAAACAAATATGTAAAAAATCTAGAAGGCGAATTTATAAAAACGAATTCATAAAAAAATAAATTTATAAGAAAAACATGTAAAAACAAAGTTATAAAAAATATTGGGTGAATTTGTAAATAAAAAAGTTGAAACCAATTTCGTAACAAAATTTAAAACTTAAGCCAAAATTATAAAAATAAAAAGTTGAATAACCTATAAATCTACCATAACGGGGTCACAATTACTGATTTGGAACAACTTTCAAACTCTCAAGACAATAAAGTGTCTAAAATGGTTTTTTTTATGGTGTTGCTAAATTGACACCATTTAGACATCCCATAGACATTTTTTTTTATCAAAAATTCAACCTATAATAAAGTAGTTATAACAAGCTTTTTTTGACACAATAAATTATGCTCTGTAGAGTTGTATGCTACAACATTTTAAAACGCAAATTGTTATGTATAAAGAAAAATTGTTATGTACAGGTCAGCTCTTATAAGAATATTTTAAGAAATAAGTAAAGTGTCTATATGGTAAAATGAAGTGTCTTTTTAGCCAATATTTTTATACATTGGTTACCTATTTTTGGCTTTAACCGAAAGGATAATATAAAAATGTTTGTTTTTGGCTTTAACCGAAAGGATAATATAAAAATTTATGCTTTGTAGAGTTGTAACGAGTAATGGTGTGTGTCAGGTTAATGTGTCTATATATAAGTTATTATGTTTTGTTTCTTAAACTGGATAAATGTCTGAATGAAATTAAATGACTATCCTACTTTTAAATTCCAAAAATACAAATTTCATAAAATTCAACAATTTCAACGTAAGAGGAGTTAAAAGGGAAAAAAACGACGAATAGCAATAGGTAAATAGTTAGTATCTTAACACACTAAGTCATATTTTTTCGGGTTACGCTTTTTAAGTCATATTGTCCGGATTAAGTTAAAAACATTTGTGTATAGTTGTCGTGTTTAATTCATTAAGCTCATTAGATTAAAAAAAATGTATGCGTCATCATGAAAGTCTAGTGGTTGATGTGTGAAATTATATAAGAAATTCCAATGTTCAAAACCTAACTGCAAGCTAGTGTTTCACGATTTATCCGCTATAGCGTCCAAATGGTACTATTTCACATTTTATAAAAGAAACCATTATACTAATAATATGACCTTTAAATAATTATAATCACTTTGATCAAATACAAATTAATTATTTTTGTGCCTTCAAATCGCTCTAATCAAATAACAAGCATGTTTGTCTCCCAAGAGTTTATGGATCTATAACATATACCTGACTGGAATAAGCAAACAACCGACTTGATATATTTTCTTATTCAAGAAATAGAGAAAAATGTTGAAAACATTTTGGGTTGCTGATCTCGGAAATAGTTTCTAATGATCATGTTAATTACAAAAGAAATAGTAATTTTAACTTTCAGCCAAGAAAACAGTGTTAACTTCGTTGATGTATAAATACTTGGAGTATCAATTTGGTCAAAGCAACAAATATTTCTTTGCCATAAGTATTCTTGGGGTAAAATCTTTGTTTATATAATGCATTTCACGTTTCATTTCAATTTTTTAAACAGTTGCAATGTGGTTGCATGATTCATATAGGTTGCATAAATTGGTAAAATAAAAATTAAAGATTGTTGCTTAATTTTGTTCACATAAATTAAGGAACAATTGAAACATGTAGATATTATCGCTTGGACTTTGGCGATATGAAGATATTTTGCTGGTAGTATTTGAGTTGTGCTATGCTTTCTTTGATGTCATCCATGGCCCTATGCTTCTTCTCCTTCCGAAAACCCTTCTTAACTACAACCAAATCAAAGATACAACTTGAAAACTTCATAATTAAATAAAAACAATTGGTTAAATCTGGGGACAGTTAGGTAATTTTACATTCATGATTCATCTCAATAAGTAGTTTTCTTTAAAAACTGAAAACAAATTGCAGGGTATAAGAAACTGCTTACAATCTCATGCCAATAAAACCATATCGAGAGTGTACACAAAGTATAAATATGTATCAATACGAGCAGATATTATAAGCTATCACCTTGTGGAAACCAACAACGACATATAGCCTTGATGCTGCTGACATCGACAATTACATGAGAGAAAAGACTAGCCAAATCAGGCATATACTTCTGCAATAAAAAACAACAATTTGAAACATAAATTTTATAATGTGTTGTGTAAGGCCCAGTTTGTACTGTGTGTCAATGGGACAAAAATGGACAAAAATTGCAATTTGGGACCAATTTATTTATTTATTTTACCTTCAAGAACATAAAATCAACATAAACTGAATTTCCTGCAAGCAGTGGAGTATATGCACTGACATGTCTCTTTACAAAGTCTATAACCTACACCAATACAAACATCATAATCCTAAGTTAGATTAATATATGCATTGTAAAGGCAAAAAGAGAAAGTTAAGTTTGACTTTGAGATCACCTGCTTTTCAGCTTCTTTTTCACTGATTCTACTTTGTATCACCTTCTCAGTCAACCCTATTATAAATTGACATGTTATTGTTAAGCCTAATTAGTTTTTGGTTACTTAAGCAGAAACACATTTTATTGAAGAGATAGAAAGCAGGAGGTGGAGGCTACTTACCACTAGCTCCATGATGATCTTGGCACCATTCTCCCATATTATCCAGACAATCTTTTGTTTGATGAATGACCAATTCAGGACCCTAAAAGAAAGAACACAAACCACATTCAGAAAAAAAAAAAAAAAAAAAAAAAAGGAGAATGGCTGAAATTACAAAAAGGAAAGACAGACTAGCAACTAACTTCTATAAGCTTCTTCAATTTCCCATCTGTAATCACACAAGCAATCTCCAATATTCTATCTACTTCAACATTCAAGCCTGCAAATGTAAATTACCTCCATTTTTAATTCTTTACTATAAAAATCTAAACCAAAAGTAAATTCCCACCAGTCATTTCTAAGTCAATCCATACGAGGGGCAACTTGTAGTGTTCTTTTAACATGTCAAACCTTTGATCATTTTCTTCAATCACGTCCTCAACACTGTCATTCTCTTCCTTTGATTTCCCTGTATCAACAATTAATTTCAAAAATAAATACTCAGGGTTGTAAGAAGCAGTGATAACAAGCATAGATCTTCAGCTAACAGTTCAAACATGTACCATTGGTTTTCTCTGTGCTATTAGTGGCACTTGCCATGTGTTGATCATCATCCTTGACGTCTAATTCTAGCAAAGAAGATGCATTTGGGAGATCGCTCATATCTGACTAAGTACTTGTTCAGATCCTGTGACAACTGGCAACAGAAGGATTGAATTGCCTGCAATGTGCAATCCATATTGATTTCAGAAATGCTAAAGTCAACTGCAAACGTAGCATCAACTGAGACCTAACTAAATCAGAGACGACAACATGAAACTGAGATTGTTTTCTGGAGTTTAATCTTAGATTGTGTTGGTAAAACTTATGCTTTTAATCAAGTTCAATATGGTTATCAAAATCGTATATCATGATACTTCCTGAAATTCGAAGTCAAACAACAATCCAACGGCACTCAGATGGCAGAATTCAATTCTAATTTTGGGAGTAATGATTACTTTGTCTTTTAAGTTTTATTACCGTCAAATGAACTCAAAGCCTTTACCAGGTAGTTGTCATCAAAATGAAACAATAATAATAATCATCATAATAACAAACATGCAGTAAACACAAACTTAATCATCGAGCATAAGTACGTCTAGGGTTTCGTTTATCCTCCAAAACAAAACCCAACGAGCAGTTTCAATGCATCTGTCGACATTAGATACGCAGAGAGGAAAAGAATTACCTTCAGACAAGAATCGGGAGGGAAATTAAGATAGAAGATGATCTTTGCAAGTTCACATTGAGGATTTACCTAATTTACTGCAACATTAGTCAAATCTTATTCAAACGAGAGGATTTATCTAATCATAATAATTATCTTTTTAAAGATTCTTTTATAAAATAACTAAAAATCAGCAAAATTATCATAAGGGAGGAGGGAGCTCCCAACCCACCGAATCATGAACTCACTGCCACATCAGCTTTTCTCTTTGATTTTTCTTTATTTTTTCCAACCCACAACATACGGAAATTCTATTTTTATCAACCCACTCAACCCACTCAATTAAAAAAAATACTAAACAACTAAGGTACAAATCTTAAAACACACGGTACAAGAGAAAATGAGAGAGAGAAAGTAGAGAGAGAGGATGAAGTGGGTTCGTGAAACCAATTAAACAACCCGTTAAAGAGAGAGTGGTACCGGCGATAACTCTATTGCTAGTTAAGATTTTACCTTGATTATTTTGTATTTTTTTAATTGAGTGGGTTGAGAAAGATAGGATTTCTGTGTGTTGTGGGTTGGGAAAGATGAAGAAAAATCAAAAAGAAAAGCTTATGTGGCAGTAGGTTCATTGGGTTCGGTGGGTTGGGAGGGAACGACTCCCTCCTCCCTAATAAGTAATAACCTGATTTTTATAGGTCATCATAATAATTATCTTTTTAAAGGTTCTTTTATATAATAACTACATCAGAAAAATTATCATAATAACCATAAATTATCATAATAACCATAATTTGTATAGGTGACTAAGCTTTTTGTAAGTCACATATATATCCAGATAGTCTACATCAATTATTAAGTACGTATGCAAAAAATTTGAAGTTTTTTTTTTTTTTTTTTTTATTTTTCATAATTTTCACCTAATAACCTACTTTAAAGTTAAAAACTATGACTTTCTAATATCCAAATTGAGAGTGTAATGTATAAATAGATAACCTTGTTATAAAAAACACACTGAAATAATTTTAGCCCAAATGGAATTCGTATGCGAAATTGATGAAGGATCAAAGTTTGGTCTTCTTTTTCATATTTTCAACCAAGTAGCCTGCTTTAAAGTTAAAATGTGTGACTTTCTAACATCAAAATTTGAAGTGTAATATATGCATGGAAAGCCTTGTTACAAAGAAACAATGAAAAAAACTCAACTCAAACAAAATTCTTATGAAAAAACTATAAATGTTTGAATTTGACTAAAAACGATTTTCATAGGGGCCTTACCTGCGAAAATCATGACTATTTTTGACATTTTTGATAGTTTTTATCTCTTTTATGGAAAACACTTGGAAAAAATTATGTCTATTATTGTCGGTTTTTCCATAATAAATAATAAATGAAAATCTAACCAAATTTTAATGACCTAATTGGAACGAGTTTGGAGACCAACAAAAATATTTTGACTAAAGGATACATTATGGACCCACATTTCGGATTCCAAAAGAGAAAACTTTGGAATTTAAATAATAAGTTTGATTTTGATGAATAATTCTGAAATTTCGAGAAAATACTTCATTTTTTACTAAAATCTAACAAAAAAAAAATTATACAAAAAAAAACATAGCAATTTGAAAATATATATGATACAAATACTTAAAATCAAACATTTGATTGAAAAACGACGATTTTAAACATTCCGAAATGAAATCTCGGACTTGAGTATAGATAGTTGATTGAAAATATTTTGTGCTAATGTGAGAAAAAATACAACTTATATATTTTTAGTCAATCCAAGTGTCAATAACAAATCTCAAACGATTAATTTAAAATATGTGGTCTGTCATTTTTAATTATTAATACTATTGACGATGACAAGTGAAAAACCGTCGTCAAAAGCTCAGTCCTACGATTTTCTCAAGATTAAATCACAGCCGCATAAACTCCCTAGTTTACAGTTATTAAGGCAGTTCTTCTCACCTCGGAGCAATCGGTTTCTCATACCTCCCACGTTTCCCCCTTTCGTACCCTATCAGGCATCTTTCGTTACTTGCAGACGGTTCTCCATTGTGTTGTGTCTTCTTCAGCTACATTCTCCCACGATTGCATGATTACGTGCAAAGGTATTTTTGTCGAGGAGTATAAAGGCCCTCCCACCCCCTCGATTTCCACACGACCCTCCTTATCTTCCTCTGTTCTCTCGAAACTTTCTACATATAAATAGAGTCAAGGTTACCGAAGGAGATTCATGGTTCTTTACAAGTTGGTTTGGGGTGTTCTATTTTTCGCCAATCTTCTTCCCCATATTCTCCTTCACAACTTCTATTTAGGTGTGTTTCTTTATAATTTCATATGTATTGCAGGTTTATGGGGCGGATTAATGTTCATTTGGGTTTTGTGAACAAAGAAGTGGAAATACGAGAAAAGCGAGAGCATAGTAGGGGTGATCTTTTGGCGCCCTTTCCTTTAACTTTTGCCCATTTTTGCCTTCTAAGATTCCCGTACCATTTATCTTTCTACTCTCACACGCATGTCATCATTGTTCCACGAGTTGTTCTATTTAATGGCGTCTAAGCAACAACTATCTGCAATTAAAGTATGCAATTTCACTATATTATGCATCTATTTAATTATTCGGTTCGTTTTCCCATTGATTTGAGTGGTGTTTGTGTCGTTTTAGTGTGCAAAAGTGCTTATGGTTGGTAATGGTGGTAGCGAGCTTCTCAAAACCCTCTATCAGGATTTCAAGACATTCACAACGTAAGTCAATTATGTGTCTCTTTTATTATTATATTATTTAAAGAGTGATTATTTCTTAACGTGTAGTAACGGTTTGGGTTTGAGGTTTTAGGGTTTGGTTTTTTAGTTGATTTTTGGTAAATTAGATAAAATGGTCAGTGGTATTAAATACCTCAACCAAAATAGATATCAATCACATCCTTCATAGTCTCATTCACATAAAAACAACATCAATTTTTTGAATTCATCTTGATCATATGTGTCAAAAAATTCTCATAAACAGTATCTGTGATTCTGTGGTACTTTTTAACAACCGTATGGACTATTTGTGTAATTTTGTCATATTTTAATTTGATTATGGCTGAGCCGACCTTGCCAGCAAGCCGAACTTTTTATAGCATACCTTGGTATTCATAAGGGTTTTGTAAAGTTGTAGAAGGGGGGCGGTATCATCGTACTCCTTCCATTCACTGAAAACACACATACTCTCTTACACCATCAATGGCCGCAATCACCTTATAGAGCAGAAAAAATAGTTTCTACGAACCACTCTACTGCTCATCAGTACTCAAATCTAATCGAAATCCATTCAAAATCAACGTTGATACCAATGGCAGCTTTTATTCCTCAACCACCCGCAACAGCTTCACCGGCCGAAGCTATTAAGCCAGAGAAAGTTGATTACATGGACCTGCCGTGCCCTATTCCTTACGAAGAAATTCACCGCGAGGCTATGAGTTAGCATCTAAATGATCTTCAGCTTTACTCATTTATTTGATTTGTTTTTTAATAGATTGTTAATTGTTTTGGTTATTGATTAAATCTGCGATGGCGTGATATCGTTGTGTATATGTGAGTCTTGAGTATTGTTAAACCCTAATTCTAAACCCTAGCTAGACCACATCAGGCATATCTTTACTTTGAAGACCGGAAATAGTTAATTTGTTAAAAAATATCTTTTATCGTTGCGATATCTATGAATTTGGAGCTTATATGGCGTGATCTACCAGTTTAGTATTAATTCCATCTAATCCCATTTGTACTTTCACGAGAAAATTTTAAAGGGGAACTAGATTCATTAATCGCACAAAATGCAAGTGAACAGCCTTGGGAAAAAGTTTGATTATCATAATCAAACTTCAAAGTTATTGATCTGTGGTAAATTAATGTGGGGCTTAGATTTCATAAATTCCAAATACCCTTAAGAAGATTTGACAATGTAGAAATAACCACTTGTGAATATCAATTTCTTATGTCTTATGTGATTGGGTTTGAAGATAAGAAATGTTCAATTGCATGTCATGTTATGTCATATGTGATGATATTGAAAAATGAAGAGATGACCAATTGGATATACATGTTGTATGTGATTTGTTGACTCCCTTAATCTCTTATCTCCAATTGTCTTGTTTCTTGTTGACACAAGGAACAGTCACCCTTTGTTTTCTTATCAACTGTGGGCAATGTAATGTTTCTCATCAATCATATGTTTATTATTCCTTATATTGAACACACTTACTCCTATGCAGTGTCATTAAAGCCTGAACTTTTTGAGGGTATGCGTGTCGACTTTACCAAGGGTCTGAATCAGAGATTCTCACTAAGTCACAGGTAGACAGCTACAGATGTAACTTATTTTGACTTGGTATGGATTAATCTACTTCAGATTTGATGAGTTTTCTGTTTTAATTTACAGTATTGTTATGGGGCCTACAGAACTTCCTTCTCAATCTGCTGATATAATTAAAATCCCTACTGCAAACTATGAGTTTGGTGCTAACTTTATCGATCCAAAGGTAAGTCACATTTCATTTATCACCATTGTTGTAATCACTTTTTTTTTTTGCTTATAGATATCAAATTATCAATCTCACTTTGATGATGGTGTTTTGGTGTTTGAAAGTTGATGCTCTTTGGAAGGATCTTGACTGATGGGCGACTAAGTGCCCGAGTGAAGTGTGACTTGTCTGAAAATCTTACTATGAAAGCCAATGCTCAGGTATATATATGCATGCCATGTATTTTGCTGATTATTAAATCTTTAAAAGTATGTTGTTAATTCAATTTTGGCCTTATATCAGCTTACAAATGAGCCTCACATGTCACATGGAATGTTCAACTTTGACTATAAGGTACATTATTGATCTTGTGGCTTTTTATGGTTATGATATCTAGAAATCTTGTAATTTATGTTCTTGCATGACATTGTACCTTCAAAATTCAAATACACTTTAATTTGTTTAGATGCTAATGTCCATTTTTGTTATGGTGAATTGTTTTTTCTTGATGCAGGGTAGTGATTACAGGACACAGTTCCAACTAGGAAATGGTGGCCTCCTTGGAGCTAGTTATATCCAGGTAAAAGATCCCTCATCTATTATAATTTCATTTTTTTTTTTTTTAATATCAGCATTTTCTCATGGGTAATATTCTGCTTGCAGAGTGTGACCCCTCACCTGTCTTTAGGTGGGGAGGTGTTCTGGGCTGGTCAGCATCGGAAATCTGGCCTTGGCTATGCTGCAAGATACAACACGGACAAAATGGTAATTTTTCTCTCACTTACATATATTTGTCTTTTAGATATAAATAAATATATAATGAAATTAATTCCTTAATTTGTTGCAGGTCGCCTCTGGACAAATAGCCAGCACTGGAATGGTTGCTCTTAGCTATGTTCAGAAAGTGTCTGAAAAGGTAACCAGCTCAAATTTCTCAATAATTATGTTATGAGATTTAATTCAAAATCATCAATAATTACTTGTGATTTTTTTTTTCTCATTTTGCATAGGTTTCTCTAGCAACTGATATGATGTACAATTACATGTCAAGAGATGTCACTGCCAGCTTTGGCTATGACTATATACTTCGTCAGGTAATTCAAACAAGTCTTTCAATTTTAATCCTAAATAAAATTAAAATTGGTTATTGCTATTTTATTTTTGTTATTTGTATTTATTATTTAGTTTTGTTTTGGTATTGACAGTGTCGTCTTAGAGGAAAGATCGACTCTAATGGGTGTGCATCTGCTTTTCTTGAAGAAAGGTTGAATATGGGTCTGAATTTCATTCTATCAGCCGAGGTGATTATTAGTGAAATGTCTTTAATACCCTTTTCAATCTCATATTTAACACATGAAAGTAATGTGTTTGTGAATTATGTTATGCAGCTGGACCACAGGAAGAAAGACTACAAGTTTGGGTTTGGGTTGACAGTTGGAGAATAGGTGAAGAGGCCAGGTGGGAAAAAGTAAACCTAGGAGGAATTTAAACTTATTTTTGAGTGAGAAACAAAAACTTGTCATACATGGTAATGGTATGATTTTTTTTAAAAAAAAACATGATCAAAGAGTCAAGTTTTGTACTTGGTTTTTGAGCAAGCATTATTTGCTATGCAATTGCAGCAGCTGCATAGACAGTTTTTTTTAGAGCATAATCCATACTTGTCAAAATTTGCAGCTTTTAATATATAATTCATTCGACTTCCTATTTGAAGCTGTAGTAGAATGCACCATGATATGCTAATTGGCAATATATATATATATATATAATATATATATATATATATATATATATATATATATCTTGGTTTAAAAAAGCGTGTTGCGCTCCGTTGCGATTAGGTCCCGGAGACCGATGCGTGTTGTGAGATGCAATTGCGAGCGCATCAGGTAGGTGTGGCGCACAAGTAGTAATTACTAAATATATAAGCAAAATTCATGTTTACCAATAACTAACTAAAACACCATAAACATTAAACATATCAAATGAAACCAAATTCCAAAATTCATGCCATATGCAAACTGAAAACAAACCTGACAGTGATTAGTTAAAACTCAAAAAGCAAAATGCAAGTTTACCATACTCATGCAAAATGAAACTAAATCTAATTGTCATGCAAAATGAAACCAAATATAATCATCAAATGTCATCAATCCTCATCAAACCCGAGCTCACAATCTACCTCCTCGACCTCGTCACAAGACAATCCAATATCTTCTTCTATCTCTTCATCCACCAACACAAGTCTACTAGGTTCAGGTGGTAGTGTATAAGGTGACTTTCTACTACATACAGGTGGCCTACCATTTCCAGCAACACCTTTATCCTGTGCAGGTGGCCTACTACTACTACTTCCAGCAACTCCTTTATCTTTTAAAGCTCCTCTTGTTGAATAGATAGGCTCATTAACCCCAGCTGCATCTTCTACAACATCCCAAGTCAAATCCTCACCCTCAAACACTATATTATCAGCTCCATTCTGCTCCATTGTTCCCAACAACCACTCATTGCTCTCATCTATTTCATTTAGAAGGATAGGATCAGCCTTGTCATTTCTTTTGGATCGACGATTCAAGGAACGGTTGAATTTCACATAGACCATATCATTTAGTCTACTTTGTGCCAATCTATTCCGTTTTTTGGTGTAAAGCTACAATAATACAAAATACAATGAAAGAGTTAAATAATATTAGACATGTAACAATGTGTAAACAAATGAAAAGATAATAACATAAATCCAGGAACTTACGTGTTGAAAGACTCCCCAGTTTCTCTCACACCTTGTAGCGCTACATGTGAGGCTAAGGACTGGTACAACAAAGTTTTGCAAGTTAGGGGCTGAAGACCCAAAAGATATCCACCACTCAGCAGGTGCTTTTGACTTTCTTTGTCTTATTGCCATTGGAAAACCAAATAAACCTTGAGCACTTTGATATAAAGATAATTCTTCCATAATCTTGTCTTGGATACTCAAATCTGGTACCAATCGCTCGATGCATGCATATAATCCGGTCATAACTTCTTCACAAGATGTGCCAGCTTGGTTAGCATAAAAGATTTCTGGATTTAGGTAATGTCCAGCTGCATGCAAGGGGCGATGAAGTTGACATTGCCACCTGTCATCAATAAACTTAAAAGCTTTCTCATACTCCTTTTCTTTGTAGAGAAAGGATTTTGAGATAGTCTCCTTGGCTCGGTCCATTGCCTCATAAATATAACCCATAGCTGGCTTTTTCTCCCCGTCCACCATTCTAAGGACCTTAACAAGCGGTCCTGTCGACTTAAGAGAATACAAAATATTTCTCCAAAATGTGTCTGATATGAAATATCCTTTAATCTTGATTGTTGTTGCATCGTTGGCCCACTTGCTTTTATTCCACTCTTTTGACAAAACCATTTTTCTTAAGTTGTCTTTTTGCTTGTGAAATTGTGACAGGGTGATGAATGATGTTGCAAACCTACAATTAATACAACAATTGAATATTAGACACAACAAAAATAATGAATGGTTAATCAACTATTAAGAGTCACAATTCAAAAACCTGGTTATAGCTGGTCTATGCAAGTTTCTTTGATTGGTAAAGTTCCTCATCATATTAACAATAGCAACATGGGTATATATGTACCCATTTGCCAACATACATTTCTTCAAAGAACTTTTCACTTGAAGGATGTTCTTTCCAATGTCCTCTAACATAAGATCAGTACAATGTGCCGCACATGGAGTCCAGTAGAGGTGTGGTCTTTTGGCTTCCAGTAACTGCACTACAAAGTTCACAACAAATAAAGTTGAAAATAAACAAATAATGAATAAAATAAAGAAAGTTAGACACTTAAACTTAGAATTAATTATCTATTATTTACCTGCTTTAACATAAGCAGATGCGTTATCTGTGATCACTTGTATAACATTGGACTCTCCCACCTCTTGAACCATGTCATCAAGAACACAAACAACAAGTTTGCATCCTTTGAAACTTCTGACATATCCATGGATTTAACAAAAACAGATCCCCGTGGTGAATTGACTAAAAAGTTTATTATATCTTTTTGCACCACCGAATCGCGCCAACCATCCGACATTATTGAACAACCTTTTTGAGCCCACTCGGTCTTGTGGTCTACCATTTTTTCTTGAATTGTGGCTACTTCTTTTTTCAACAAGGGAACCCTTAACTCATACATGCTTGGGGGATTCATCCCAGGACCAAACTGTCCAATTGCTTCGACCATGATATGAAAACTGTCATATGTTGCAACATTGAAAGGAATGGCTACACAATAAATCAACATATATAACATCAATAAATCAGAACATGTATATTAACTTTAAGAAACAGAATAACAGAATATATAACTCTAAAAAACATTACCTGCATCATAAAACCATTTTGCTATTTCCCTGCATGCTTTAGCCCGTAGTTCTTTCCGACACACGTCATTTATAGTTTGTTGTTTCCCTCCTTTCCCATCTTTTCTACCTTTAAGTGCATCTTCAAGTTTTGGAGTGAAAAACATATCTATCGGCCTTTTTTGTTTTGGTTTCTTTCTGGGTGGTTGCTTGCTGCTACCTTCACCCCTTTTTCCTGTTACTTCAACACAATCTTCCTCTTCTTCGTCTCCATGATAATCATCAAAGTCTTGCATCCTTGATACCATTTGAATGCTCTCCTTCATTTGTTGTTTCTGTTTCATATAATCCCTGGCCTCTTTTCGAATATGATCCGGACATTTTTGGCATGCAAGAACATTTGTAAAACCTCCAGCAAGGTGCTCTTTCATACGACTTGCACCTCCCTTTGTGACTTTAGAACAGAAGTTGCAAGTGAAATTATTTCTGTTCATAGGGTCTTTCACACTGTACTTTCTTGCAGGATCAATGTTGTGGTCCAACGAATCATTGTTAGCATCCATGATTGTCAAGACTTAAGAGAAGAGAATGTTAAGACTTAAGAGAAGAAGAGAATGTTGAGCACTGTTAGTGACTTAGTGCTAACTATGAAACGTGGGATCAATAAATAAGAGGGTGGATCAAGAAAGAGGAGGGAAAATGAAGAGGTTACTCATCGATAATGACAGAGAAAAGAAAAAGTTTTTCGTGTGATCATGATGTTGTGGCTGTTAGTATTCTTATACACACGTCTCTAGGGTAGAAGTAGGGCCGGCTGCTAATTAAACAATTGCATTTGCACGGGCTTTATTATATTTTAATTATTTTCTAAGTCAAATGGGGACACAAGATGCGACAAAGCGCAATGCACTTTGATGCGCACGCATCACCTCGCATCATGTAGGTCGCTTCGCCCCACATCTCTGTTGCACTTAGGCCATCGCAACGCAACACAACATCGCAACGGTCGCAACATGCACACTTTTTTAAACCAAGATATATATATATATATATATATATATATATATATATATATATATATATATATGTTCAAATGTGGATTGACATCTATTGTGCGGACGTGTGAACAGTGCTATTATGTCAAAATGACAAATAAAATATGTTGTTTGATAATATGAATACATTCAATCTAACATAATCATTGTCATTATCACACATTCTCACTAATTAAATCGTCTATAAGGTTATTATAGACTTTTTAGTATTATTTTCATTCTATCAGAATGTAGTCAGAATGTTTATTGAGTCGTATTCAGTAACAATGAAAATGAGTGAAAAACGATGTGTGAGAACAAAAATGAATAAGAATTACTGAGAATGCATGAAAATGATGATAGTTGTGTGATGTTAAACATATTCGCATTATTAAATAACTTATTCTCTTAGTAATTCTAATAGAATAACACTATCTACAAGTCCGCACAATAGTTGTCTATCCACATTATAACATAGCCCTATATATATATATATATATATATAGATATATATATATATATATATATATAATATATATATATATATAATATATATATATATATATATTATAATATATCCCTTTGGCATTGTTATCCGATTGTTGCTTCACCTTTAGGATATGCTTTTAGATGAGACTGGACAAATTTCATCATCAACATTTTCAGATAATAAAGTCCAACAAATATGTCGGAACTTACAAAACTAAATAACTGATTTATCTCTGTTATATTTCAAAATTTTCAAAATATTTAAGTTTTTTGGTACAAAGACTTTCAAAAACAGGTTACTTGTCAGCGACCGAGCTCTACTCTGGAAATGAATTGATTTTCTTTATCATAATGGAAATGTATTTTGTTTTTAATTTCTTCAAATTTAATAAACAATTACAAATACTTTCTCGTTTTCGTTTTGGTTCCATTCTTTAATTTGGTGCCCTGCGCTTCGAACCAATTATTCCAAAATAAATTATAAATGGTTTCATCGTTGCAATGAGTTGACATTTGAAAAGGACGCATAATTTAGGTAGAATAGGTGTGACTAAAAAATAGACAAAAATCACAATTAATTATTAATTAGACGTGTGCCCGCGCAAAGCAGCGACGATAAATAATTTTTTGGTCGAATAGTTTTCTTACGGGAAAATAATTATTAGATTTTGTTATTAGTTATTATGTAGTAAGAAAAATTACCACTTTTAATTAAAATATTTATGTTTAGAACTTATATTCATATTGTATGTTTATACATTTGATGTAAATTAATTATTATCGGCATCTAGTTTAAGAAATGTAAATTAACTTATATTGATGAATTTAATATTTTAAAATTGTTATTTTGTTCCAAATTAATTTTTTAATAATCTTCCTTAATTCAAGTCTTTAAAGTTTTGACAAGTATTTATGGTTTTGTTATGCATAATTGATTTGTATAAAAAGCTTTGTATTTTGTACCTCTTAAAATTGAAGATATGACTAATATGTTTTATATATAGTATAAGATAACTTTGAATTAAATACGAGTAGCGTCACCACCACTCACCCATCACCCATCAAAACCACCACCACCACCACCACCCACCACCATTACCAACACCACCCACCCACCATCACCACCCATCACCACCACCACCACCCAACACCATTACCCCCACCACCGTTACCACCACCATCACCACCTACTACTATCACCACCCACCACCTACCACCTACCACCACCCACCACTACCACCCACCACCCACCAGCTACCACCACCCACCACTACCATCCACCACCACCACCATCAATATCACATGCAACCACTACCCATCATCACCACCCGATATCTGTTGGATTAGGTGTCTAAGCCCATAACTATTATTGCTATGTACTTGACCCGATAGTAACATGGTCCATTTGGGTTGCATATCATTAGGACAATTTGATAGGATGGACTTTTGAGAAGAGGTTATTTATGGTTTATTAATATATTATAAGTTCTAATATATTAATCTGAAATCATATTATTTAATTAGTATTGATCAAGAACTAATTTGGAATTAATTCTGTGATCAAAAGAGACTAATTAAATATATGAGGATTGATTATGTAAATCATTCATTCTTACAATGTGGGCTTATGATCCATAGTTCTTTATGTTGGGCTAAACCCATGTGGTGACCCATGGATGATCCATGGAGGTTTAAACCCATGGAGCATGAGGAATATGGAAGGTCATGCACATTAGGGTTTGCATGGTGTAACCCTAATTAAGCCACACTATATAAGAAGCCCCTAGCTCATGAAATCGGTTACACATGTGTTCTTTGGAAGAGCTATCCGAATTTGAGTGCAATACACCTTTTCTCAAGTTATCCTTTGTCCTAGGTGTGTTGTGATTCCATTTGAGGCATTCATACTATTGGTGCTAAGTTCTTAAAGGTCTAAGGTTTCCAGCTAAAACAAAAGGTATGTCATCTAACTAGAATTTTGTAGTAAAGATACTCCATTGTATGCTAGTTAGGATGATGCTTTGGAAAAACAAAGTTTGCATGTATATTATAGAAAACATAGATCCAAAGCATCTAGGGTTGCATGTACACCATAGGAGTGTTAGAATGCTCAAAACCCAACAGTGGTATCAGAGCCTAGGGTTGTTTTCCAATATACTTGATGCTACTTGCTTTCAAAAGCTAAAAAATTGTTTTTCTGCTTTCTGGACAGTGGACTCGCCGAGTCCACTGAGGAACTCTCCGAGTCCCCTCACAAATCTGACCAACTCGCCGAGTCAGTTCATGCACTCGACGAGTTGGTGCTCCAGCATGCAGATTTTCGAGTTCTAAGGCTGGAATTGGACTAGGATCATTACCCTAAACTGTTTTTGAACTTATAAACCCGTTTTTGATGTGGGTAATGATCATGCTTATCCAATTTAAAAGATAATTGTCAAAGTTTCATGTTTTATTAGTTTATATGGTTAGGCTAATTACCTGAAATTTGTTTGATATGAATTGTCTTGTTCTTATGAGTTTAATTTAGATCATAGACAAATTATTTTGTAAGTTATAATAGTTGATCTAAATGTTTTTTTTGATGAATTCCATAACTTGTCCATAACTTGTCCTCAAGTTATGGAAAGTGAAAAGTCTCATTTTTAAATGTCATCTTAAAAGGTTTTATGTCATCCATAACTTGTCCTCAAGTTATGGAACATCAAGAGTCCTTTTCATAAATGTTTTATGAACTCCATAACTTGTCCTCAAGTTATGGATTTTCAAGAGTCTTTTCATTAAAACCTATATTAAGCTCATAAGTTATGGATTCCAAAAGTTTTTGAATAGTTCAAAACTTGCCCTCAAGTTTTGGAATTTGTAAATGCAAAGTCTCACTTTGAAACATTTAGTTCCAAACCCTAGAATTTTAAAAGTTTAAAATTCAACCCTTATACTATTATAATATTATAGGTTTAATATTTATATATATATATATATATATATATATATATATATGTATAAGAGTAAAATTCAGTCTTAACGTTAATAGGCCTCATTCACGAAGCCGATCTATAAGGGAGTATAAGGTAACTGCCTATAAAATGTCAGTTTAATGGGTGTCCACTCTCACCCACCGCTTCCTTGACTGGTGGGGGGTCGTTAGCCGAACGGGTAGGATAGGACATTATTAATCATTTAATTATAAGTATAATGATAATTATAAAGTAACTAAACTTTATTAAAATTCCCAATCTTAGTTACTTTAGGAAAAATGTGAATATGGTGCTATCCCATGAAATTGCACTTTGCACCTTGTTAAGTCGTTAGTGGAGCGTGTGTGGTTAACCGACACACTAATATGGGACTGACAGTGTGTGGAAAAGGGTAGCTTGATGTTAATCATAGATCAATGGAGTGTATGTGGTTAACCGACACATTAATTAGGTGGTTGTAACATTGAGTGTACCAGACTAATTTACATGGCTATTCACACCTTATTTGTGATCCTCGACATCCCAGTCACAAACTTGAAGGGCACAATCGAGATTTAAACATTCCATTGAAAAATTCAATGAATCTCAAAAGATCTAGGAAATTTCAAACCAATTAAAACTTAATAATTTGTTTCGTTTTTCATGGTGGAAATTGGTAAATCGTCATTTACCTACCTTCAAATATTTTGCAATCGGATTACGGCATCCCTCTTCCGATTTGTAAAGTATTGTGTTGGGTCCTAGCCTTAATATTTCATGTTGGGTGTTATATCAAGGACTTAAATCAACTAAGCCTTCCCAACTATGGTCTTCCCAAATCTTTTGGAATAAGCCTTCCCATTGAAGATGATGTTCCACGGTTGGATCGTGGAAATGGAAATCATACTTCACTTCCTCCACCTCCTCCAATTATTCTCCCTAACCCACAAGTTCGAAGACTTGAAAAGTTCAAGGTCACTCAATCCCTACTTGCAATGAAACATCAAGATGGAAGGC